TGTGTCATCACTTTTTTGTCTTCCCTGCCTCTCTTGAGGCAATAATTCCTGCTACAGACAAGTAAGAGGCTCGTGCCTCTGTCATAGTCCCACCTTCTTCTGAAAGGGTCCAGGGATGCTTCACCTGAGCACCTGAGAGAGAAATCCGGAGGCAAAAAAGATGAGTCAACACCACGGGCCACCAAGTAGTCTGTAACACCAAGTTTGAAGGAAGAAAGCAACCACAGCCTTATAGCTAGGAAAGCCCTGAAGGGCCGTTGATGATGATCTCGGGGTTTTGCAAATACTCCCCTAGGTGTTGGTACATACCAGAAAGATGAGAAACGTGGGGTGCTGCCAGCTCTCAAGGGTGTGCTGAAAAGTCTTTTGATGTTCGGGTCTTCTGTAGAAAGTTGTAGGCTTCTGTAGCTTCTGTAGAAGGCTGTAGGAACCAGGAGGTCACTTGGGCAAGCGCGGCTGAAAGATCCTGAAAACACGGCATGACGGACAAGAACCACAAATGAATTGGTTTTATAATTAGGGTTCTCTTCTAAGCACGTCTCCTTCTTGGTTTTTTGCTGCTTGGGGTTGTAATACTGGAGACCCTCAGGCAGGTAAGGGTCTCTGCTCACCCCGTTGAAGCAGAGTTCCATGTTCCTACAGCTGTATGGGGAAGGGCTCACACCGAATTGCCCTAACAAGTGTTTGCAGGATGATCATCCCCAAAAGCCCAGGAGCACGTTTCGTAGGAGGATTCCCAGCTCTGTTTCCACATGTACCAAAGCCCTGTGAGATAAATGAAACTGGGAGACTCAATGTCACGACTCGGACAATACCTTGAAATGAAGTTGGAGAAGAAGGTAGAGCATGGTCTGCTCATCCCCGTTAGGTCTGCCTGGGGATGGACCATCTTCTTCTCCATGTGCTTGGCCCTGTTCCTTGTTAGACTTCTACGAGGAAGAAAGCTCTCTCTCTTTCTTCTCATCCTCCTCCAGCACAAAGCTGGGGATGTTTTTTTTTCCAGTAGGGAAACTCTTTGCCACCTGGCAGAGCTGCATCCTCGGGGTTTGAGAGTCCTTTTTGTTGCTCAGCCAGGAGGGATGGTTTCAGGCTGCGGCTTGAATATCTGTTCTGGCTACATTCATTTCACAGGAAAAGACTTTGCCTCCTGCTCCCTTAAGACAGGTGGGAATTTCCTTACTATGGGATAGTGGTAAGACCAGAAATATATTGGACCCCTCACTCCAAGAAGGACATTGAGGTGCTGGAGCGTGTCCAGAGGAGAGCCACCAAGCTGGGGAGGGGTCTGGAGAACAAGTCACATGAGGAGAGGCTGAGGGAACTGGGCATGTTGAGTTTGGAGAAGAGGAGGCTGCGGGGAGTCCTCTTTGCCCTCTCCAACTCCCTGACAGGAGGGTGTAGAGAGGGGGGGGTTGGCCTCTTCTCCCAAGGGGATAATGAGAGGAGCAGAGGGAATGGTCTGAAGTTGGGGCAGGGGAGGTTTAGATGAGATCTTAGGAAGAATGACTTTCCTGAGAGGGTGGTCAGGGACTGGAAGGGCATGCCGAGGGAGGTGGTGGAGTCACCATCCCTGGAGGTATTGAAGAAACGTGTAGACGTGGCACTTCAGGGCATGCTCTAGTGCCCGGGATTGTTGGGTTGTGTCTGTGGGGTTTTTTTGTTGTGTGGTGGTTTGTTTTTTTTTTTGTTGGTTGGACTCGATGACCTCAAAGGTCCCTTCCAACCATGAAGATTCTGTGATTATGATATAGTGACTGCCCCCTGGACCACGCAGGCTTTGGTAAACAGGGAAGAATTCCTAATTTTCACCTAATGGGAACCCTCTGCAAGTATAGACAACGTGTGTTCTTGGTTAAACTCCAGCTCATGGCACGTCTTGACTCCGTTAGGCGCTCCACTTTTTAGTGGAAGTTTCTGGCACTTGAGGTGGTAAATAAAAGTTTGAAAATGGCACCATAGCTTTGCCAGGCTGACAGTGGCTGTGAGTAGCTGCAAGGAGTGGATCTTGGAGGTTCTCCATGCCCCACTCCCTATCTGCCGTGGACCAGGAGGAGAGGAGACCCCAAACGATGCTCTCTAGGGTGCAGGGTTGCTCTCTAGGGGTTACGGAAGGGTCCCTCCCTCTGCCACCATTGTCTCTTCTGCCCCACGTTTGGGAAGAGGGCAGCTCCTGGAGATGGGGCTGTAGAAAGAGAGCCCAGGTCCTCTCCTGCACGTGCGTTGCCGTTTTCTGGCCCCGGGAGGCAGCCTTGGTTTTTTTGGCCGGGGAAGACGAGTTCCTGGCCTTTGGCCAAAGGGGAGCTGATATTTCTTCAAAGTTCGCCAGACGGAGTTTGGAACTGGCTGGAGCTTGGCGCTCCCAGCGCCAGCTGCTCACGAGTCGGCTGGAAACACTTCTCTAAGATGTGTGAAGAAGAAAAAAAAAAAAAAATATATATAAAAAAGTTATTAAAATTCCCCGGCTTGCCGATTTCCATTTGAATCTGAATAGTCACACTTT